ATATTAAAATTACAGTCATCCAAATTGTACCAAAAATAGAAATAGTTTGAAAGGCATGATTATATTTATATATTCATATAATTGACAATAAATAAAAAGCCCTAATATTGACAATATAACATATTATAAATCATAAATCAAATACTCAAAAGAGACAATAGATCTATGCCACTAAGCCTCTGGGACTCCTCCACGTGTCACTTGTGGCTCTTCTCTTGAAAATTGTTAATCACATAATAAGACTCAAAAGTCCCAGTAACCAAAGCCAATTTATGATAGTGTGTACAAACAGTTAATTGTGTGCTTACTAAGTGGAACCAAAAATAATATAATTCTAACAAAATATAAAAACTATTACAATACACACAAATAAATATCCTTATATCCCTCCATTAACCTCAAGTCGTAGCCCTCGCTCGGTGCTAAATTACTCGGCCAAAGGTAGATTAGCCCGAGCCCTTACAAGCCACCTATTGAGCTCCAATAGGGGCGTACCACGTGGCACATAAATACAACAATAATAGTAAGTCTCCCAACACCTCCTACAATAATTAAACAAATTCATAATAATATTGCACATTATATAATATTACAAAATTTATAATTTTCTCAATAATCACCCAAGTAACATGAAGTAACACTAATCACAAATTAAAAGCATGGTTACCTTGTGGCTTTTTTAATAAATTATTCCTTACAATTTCTCTCTCACCACAATCTTCACCAATAATACAATCTACAAATAACATATTATTTATAAATATTAGTTTCAATTTTTGAAACTAATAAAATAATTCTAATAATAGAATTAAAAATATAACATAATTCCTAATCTCAATCTTAATGCAAATCTAGAGTTAATACTATTAAGTAAAATTTTTAACTCCTCTTTTACTCATCAATAAATATTAATAATCTAAAAATCAAATTTTATACTAATTTCTATTATCAAAATTTTCTTTTTATTTCATAAATTCGTACCTAAAATACCCAAAAATTAAAAATTGAGTCTCTGGCTTAGAATCATAATCCTATAGCCATAATAATTCATTTCTCATCCCAAATAATCATCTAAATCTCAATAAATCAACATATATTTTCAGATCTAGTTTAGAATTTGATCCATAAGCCACAAATTCAAAGATCATCAACAAATTTATACTCTAGAACATTTATTATACTACTGACAACCTAAAAAAACATATTTATTCAACATAAATTCATCCATCTTCTAGATTTTAAATTTTCTACCACTACAAACTCAGAAACCAAAGAAGAAGGATGATTAAGAAAATTTTTTTAATAATAATAATAATAATTTAATAATATTTTTTAATTAATTAATTAATAATTTTAATTTTTTTAAAAAAATTAATTTAGAATTATATCCTAAGTTAGATTTAATAATTATTTTCTACTAATTTCTTACCTCTAAATATTTTTTAAAATTTCTATTAATCTAAATTAACTATTAAAAATTAAATTGAAATGTTACAATAGGTGTTCTCACTTAGTACTCAATTATACTTTGAACATAGTTGCCTTCCCTGAAAAAACATCTATGGGAAAAAAAGGAAATGTTTTAAAGCAAAAACTTAAAAATACTTATTTTATAGATGAATATGATCTAAAAATATAATTTTTCTTACACATTAATATTTACTTTTTTAAAAAAATTACTCGTTTTACAAAAATGGGTTAAGTTTTTTATGATGAATAAAACTGACTTTTTTTAAAAAAATGGCATATGAATTTGTAAAATAAAGCAAGAAATTTTTTATAAATCATGAAAAAAATTATATTTTTAATATTTTTAATTAATTTTTACCTAATTTCTCTTGTTGAGAAAAATAATAATAAAAGAGGACTGGAGGAGCATAATTTACATGACTTGCGGCGGCAGCGTATTCATGATCAATATATATATATATATATATAAAGACGCACATACAAAGGTAAAACGATTACGCATTCTTTTTTTTTTTTTTGAGCAAAAATGATTACGCATTCATGATCATGAGAGACCCCCGACTGACTCTCATTCTTCGGAAATAAAAACGCCACCCCCTTTCTATTATTGACTTCGCCAAATGGCGGTGAGTTAAAAAAAAAAATGGAACTATCAAGTCGATGTTCAAACTGTATTTTTCAAGAACGATTCTCTTACACACTTCCCTGTAAAAAATATTCATTAATTAAAATAAAAAATTTAATTAAACTAATTGTTGTAATTGTACTCTTACGTGTTATGATTTTGTTATGACTTGTAAAGGTTAATCCACGCAATGATATATTCAAAATAGTGAAAATACCCGAAAATAGATATACAGGTACTTAATCTCGAGAGGACTAACTTTTTATCTCAAAATTAGTGTACTGCTTTGATGGAGACCTTAATGCTCGTCCGTACTATTTCGTTTCTATTTATAAAAATAACTATCATTTTTATTTATTTTTTATATAAATAAAATTATATATTTTAATAAATATTTATTATACATTTTTTAAATCACTCCTCATAATTTATCTTAATAAAAAATAATCAATATATACTTATGTTGATTAACATGAAATATTTTAGTTTAATTTTTTTATTTTTAGATATAATTATTATAATTAATTAATTTTTTTAAACTGTGTGATATAATTTTTTTCTTTTATATATAAAAATGGAAGGAGTACTCTCGAATCACCTTCTTTATATGTAGCTCCATTAAAAAAAAAATCAAAGATTTATTACTGCTAGATGGTCGCTCTTGGTTACACAACACTGAGAGGTTTGCTTGTCATGTTAGAAAGGACGGTGGACGCTAGTGGAGATTAATAGGTGATGGGAAGAAGAAGCACTCCGAAGCAAGGACACGGTGGATGCTAGAAAGGACGGTAGTGAACTAGAGATCGGTCGGATGCAGATGACTAGAGCTGGAGATCGGCTGGAGGGAGCAAATGATTAATGAAAGGAGTCAAATCTGATGTGTGCAAAGCTTTGCATGAGATGTGAGGTTTGTGTTTTGAAGCAAATGGGGAGGTCACGAGAATAAAAGTAACATGCACAGGAAGCTAAGCACAGCTCAGTAGATAGGACACAAGAGAGAAAACGCATCAAAATTTAAAATGCATTTTATTGCTTTTAACGGGTACTAACATGAACGCTGAGAAGAAGAAGCCAGTGAACTAACTCAATGCACGTTTTCATGCCAACTGAGATTCAAAGATTTTGTTAATCCAAACAAGATAATTTTATCATTTTATCTCTTAACCTCAGTTTTTCTCATTCTAATTAAGGTTATAATGCAATCCAAACATGCTCTTAATTATACATGTGACATTCTACTCAATGATTTTACACGATCCAATTGGGATGCAACAACTTTGTGAGCCCTGATCTAATTTAATTTATTGCTTTTGCAAAGCTAGCTTATGCTGTGACCTTGCGTTAAAAATTATTAAAGGCATAAATAAAAAATCTGAGAGTTATCTGAAGGAGCAGGGAGAAGATTATTTTAATTTAATTTCGATTTTATCAAACAAACGTCACGATGATGTGAGCTCGATCGAGGGACGATCTAGTGATCTACACCCCTGCAATAAAAAGTGACTTATTGTCTCTATTTGGATTCTGTGTCTGGCAGCGATGAAACTCTCAATGTTATAATAATTTAACTTCCATTCGTTCTGGCAGCTTACCTGGAGTTTCTTTAGCATTCCGTCCTAGCTCCTGTCAATGAAACGATAATTCATGAATTGACGATGATGAATTGAGTTCAGTCTTTGGTAATTTTATTTTTCATTTGCTGCAATTTTTTTAATTATCATAAGACATTTTTAATTCTAATCATAAGGAACTCCGTCTCATCCCATGTATAAAACGTATGAGATACTGAGAGAATATTTACACAATCCAAGATACATTATTATATTACAATGTCCTAGCGTCAAGAGTATTAGATCGTTTGTTAACACACCCGTTCATACCTAACCTGCTTAATCAAGAGTCATTAAATTAATGGTAGCATTTTAATCATTATATGATGAGGGGCATTTTTGGTAATATTCACTTGCGACTTGTAGTTTAAAAAATGAGACTAGTTTCAGTGAGCACCATGTACTTATCACATGATGAGCAATCTAGACCGTTCAGAGTTTTAATTTGGACGGTGCAGATTTTTATATTTTATTTTATATTTAATAAAATAAAAATTTTAAATTTTAATAAATATATTTTATTATCACAATACAAATTCAATATAGATGATAAATTTAATATTAAATATTTTTATATTTTTTATAAATTAACTATCCAAATATATTTTGAAATGTTTGAATTTAAAATTAAATTATTTTTAAATTTTTTTATTTTAGTAAATATAATATTTAAAAATAAAAAAAGATAATCTACAAACTGGATTTTTAAAAAATTAAAAAAATTACAATTTAAAAATTTTAAATTTAAATTATCTAAAGTATATCTGAAAAATTAATTTATAAAAATATTTAATATTAACTTTATTATTCAGATTAAATTTATATTATCCAAATTAATGATAGAATAAATTTATTAAAATTTATAATTTTTATTTTATTGAATATAAAATAAAATATAAAAATTTAAAATGGTCTAGATTCCTTATCATGTGATGGGCACCATGGTGCGCATCACACGGGGTGCCCACCAACTTCTTTAAAAAACATATAGTAACTATGTTAACTACTACTTCAAATTCAGCATCAAAATTATTAAGTTGTAGGCTTCATAATAAGATGAAATATGATTTTTTTTCATTGATTTGATTAATGACCATCATATTAATTAATTAAGGAGACTGCATAGCACATATAATTCTACACATATTTGAGCAGCCTTAAGAAGAAGGGAATATACTAATATATAATTAATTAGGAGTTGTTCACTATCATGCAGCAAATTAAAAGGTGTCTAAAGAGACACCTTCAATACAAAATTAAACTACAGAATTTAAAGTTAAAAGACTAAGAGAGAGTGAACTAATAAAGTGACTAAGCTTAGATTATTTTTTTCGCATATATCTCTCCTATATATAACCCAGAGATTATGAAGCATGTGAGTGCGTAAATTATTACAACATATTTTATGCTTGAGATTCAGTCTCATTCACATACAACGGCAGAGGCTAATCCTCATCAAATATTTACATACAAATTCTCCACTTTTGCGGTCAAGCTTCCACCAGAGATTGCAAGTGAAATCGAACTGAAAATATTTCTTATCAACAAGGTAACTTGCATGCCACTGAGTTGTGAACATTCACACCATCATTTTGGCAGGAATAAGAGGCAAATCGACCTCGTCACACCATTCCACATACCTTGTCTCAAAAAATGAAGTCTTTGCCTCATTTGGCCAGTAACTTACCCAAAATTCCCCTCCTATCCTCCACTTCAACACGCTCCCTTCCATCTCTTTGCCTAGCTTCCACCCTACTTCTTCTCCATACTCGTCCCCGGCAAGCACCACCGACCCCGTTTTCGTAAACGGTCTGTTCGCTCCCATGTACCTCCTTCTCAACCCGTGGACTGGGTCGCCACCGGTTTCTCCATAAGGCTTCCCCGTTGCCACCTCCTGACCCGTCGCGTTATCGTACAAGACGGCGTCGAATATTGCCGCATTCCCCTCCGCTTCTTGGTCCATTCTCCAGTTCTTTGTCTTCGTCTTCGTAGATGTCCTCGCCACCGCTTTCCCCTTCGAAAGCTTCAGTTTCTGGAAATTTCCCTTCACGATTTTCTGTATTTCCACTTCCCTATCTGTGTTCTCAGTTGATCGGCTCAAACTCAACCCGCCCACGTACGTCGCTCCAACTTCCGGGCCGACCCAGATTCGAACTCGAGACGGGAAGTGCTTCTCCTCGCCGTACTCCGCCTCGTCGTTTTGGTTCTTGAAACCGAGTTTCGCCACGTTAAGACGTATGTTGTCGACGCGTGCGCGAACTTGAATGAACCCGTCGTGGTATGTGACGGAGTATTCTAACTGGACCAGGGCTTCGAGTTGCTGGTGGGCGAGAGTGTACTTTAGTACTGCCTCCTTAGCATCGAGACGAGGAATTTGAGTTTTCAGACCATTCGAGCTCGCTGGTTTCATCATGGTCATCATCGGTGCATAGCCTTTCAGAACCCAAAAACCGTGAGCCTCCGTTGCGTATGAAAATCCCGGGCCTCGACACGGCGGCGGAACTAACGCCTGTAATCCCACGCCTAGCTCTCTGAAAATGCACCATTTTGCTATGATGTATCCAAGGGTGCGCATGAAGCATAGCTCCATGTCTACGCCGACCGTGATTAAGAAAGTTCGCAGAACTGGCGAGGGGTTAGACGAGACGGTTTCAAGCGCGGAAGCTAGTAATGATTGAAAATAGAGCCAGCCAGCTTCGTTGGGGCCGTCGCAGGCGCAGAGCCAGAAGAGGCGTAAGATGAAGACGAGGTTGAAGAAGGTGGAGAAGGATTCGGGTGAGTGAGAGTTCATGACCCATGCGATAGGGTCGGGCTTGAGCTTCTGGAGCTGTGACCTCGGGCACGTACTGTTTGGCGCGTTGGGGGAGAGAGCTATGATCTCCTGAAGAAGCTGAAGAAATAGAGGAAGGAAAGGGTTTTCTCTAGAAAGATGACATTTCTCAGAGACCCAGAGAGGCTTTTCGGCGTTGAATGGGTGAAAACCCTGCAAGCAAACTGTGAAAATCACCGCAGCTTCGGCTTCCGACCCCGAAGTCCGGTCTGCTCTGAGATAAATGGACCGAGTCGAATCGTCCTGATCAGCTTGGCCTGAACTGGCGAGTTCGAATGTAGGTGAATCAGACCACTCCTCCGAGTTGCTGGGAAGCTCGCATATCCATGACCAAATGTCCATCATTGAGGGAAAGGTTTGGTTTCTCTCTTGTGTGTGTGTTTAGGAATGACCCATGAATGAGAGATTACTTATGGAAGGAACGAATGATGAAGGAAGGGACAACTTGGAAGCAGAACAGCCCAGAGATGGATGAGGAACTGGTGGTAGTAAGAGGTTAATTGTGTCTTATTTGAGATTTTCGGTTGGAATCATTAATGAGGCGATAGCTCTGTTTCGCTTTCAAAGGCAGATTCTTCTTCCTGATGTTCGAAGAATTGACAGGGTTGCTGTTGTTTGGAACTGCAGAGGTAGTCCCAGTTTTTTTGTCTCCGATTGTTCATGGGGCCTGGAGACTTCCACGTGTAATAGAAATCTAATTTCTCGCACCGTTTATTTATTTGGCAATGCAGTGCCTGAATTCGATTATTTGTGTTTACAAAAACAACGCGTAGTAAGACAACTCGAGATTGTCTTACATAGCTTGTTATTTCACGTCATGGATATATGGAGATTTTTGCACTATGCTACTATTAATTACGTTTGATTTTCTTTTTTATTCAGAGGAGCCCGTACTAATGGCTTGAGTTTTATTTTTTTAGCACCTCAATGACTCGAGGCTACCAGCGAAATTGAACCTCTGATTTTTCATTGATAAATTTTTTTTTCATGTTATTAGACTAAAAAGTCATTGACGTTACTCTTATTTTTTAATCGAAGGAAGTATTGTTGTGGATTTAAAAAATCTCTTGCTCTTTCTATACTTTTATACATGGAAAAATGACGTGAATCTAGTCATACTTCAATGTTTATATATTTTTTAATTTAATATAAGAATAAAAAATAATAATTTTTTTTACTAATGTACAATTTATACATGGACAAATGACGTGAATCTAGTTATACTTCAATGTTTATATTATTTCTTAATTTAATATAAGAATAAAAAATAATAATTTTTTTACTAATGTACAATTTTAATATTTTAAGGTGCATTAGGTAATTGCGAACACTTGAATTTAGGAAAAATAATAATAAAATTCCTTCAAATTATATAAATAAAAATATAGTCTCTCAAAATACTATAATTTCAATGAAATTTCTAGTTAATTAATTTTGAAGTAAAAAGATTATTTTATCCTTACTAAAAATAACAAGCTCAAATTATAATTTTTGTTTAAGGAATCACAATTTTTATTCTATAAATCGTAAAAGTTAAATAAGAAATTACAATTTATCATGTGTAATTTTTGTTATTGAAAAACAGCCTCAAGAATAACTTTTACTTTAAGAATAACAATTTTTGTCTTGTAAATTGTAAGAGTTAAATAAAAAATTATAATTTATTAAGTATAATTTTTTTATTATTGAGAGACAAGTTCTCAAAATAACAAACATCATTCACAACTTTTATTTAAAAAATTATAACTTTTATTAAAAGAATCACTATCGCAAGAATTAAACAGAAATTATAACTTGTTAATAAGAGTAAAATGATCTTTTTAATTTAAAATTTATTAATAAAAAAGTCCCTATAAACTTTAGAAGAATTATGATATTTTGAGAGATTATATTATTATTTATGTAATTTAAAAAAATTTTATTATTATTTTTCTGTGAATTTACGATTGGAGGGAGTTGAGAGATATAGGACTACATTCAATTCAACTATGACCAAGTGGTTGGCCATAAGTGTCGTTCAGATTGGCACTGTTGTGGCACTTCATTGGCTGCAAAATGTTTCGCTTTAATGTCTTTAATTTGCTTGGTTTCAGTAGACTACTTGTCATTACTACGTGGAAAAAGAAAAAAAAATCACATTCACGATTAATTTTAGTCATTATTTTTGTTCTTTGTAAACAACAAGAAGTATCGGGTGTGTTAAAAATACTGAATCTTAAAAATTAACAATAAATTTTTGGACTCTTTTATCATAATTTAATCGAATGTAAAGACGTAAAGAAATTGCAATGAGCAAGTGTTTAATTAATAACTATGTAAAGTACATAATTATAAAGATTACAAAAGCTGGAAATGAAAAGCTATATGAGAATACAATGGAGATTCAAATACTAAAAATGTCAATATATGTTGTTGATTGATTTTTCGTCTTCTTCTCTGTGACCTTCTCCTCCTCTTATAATTATTCAGTTAAGATCATTACCCCCACAGAATCAGGAGCTTGTTTACAAAATATCAGGGATCCCTTAGCACGGCCTGCGAGATTTGTGGCACATTGCACCATATTCTCTCAACGGTCTCGCATGTCTAGTCACTCCGGGTCTTAAAGGCTATGTCACGCTCGTGCATGGGAAAATCAAGATGACATTTCTCAGAGACCCAGAGAGGCTTTTCGGCGTTGAATGGGTGAAAACCCTGCAAGCAAACTGTGAAAATCAACGCAGCTTCGGCTTCCGACCCCGAAGTCCGGTCTGCTCTGAGATAAATGGACCGAGTCGAATCGTCCTGATCAGCTTGGCCTGAACTGGCGAGTTCGAATGTAGGTGAATCAGACCACTCCTCCGAGTTGCTGGGAAGCTCGCATATCCATGACCAAATGTCCATCATTGAGGGAAAGGTTTGGTTTCTCTCTTGTGTGTGTGTTTAGGAATGACCCATGAATGAGAGATTACTTATGGAAGGAACGAATGATGAAGGAAGGGACAACTTGGAAGCAGAGGAGCCCGGAGATGGATGAGGAACTGGTGGTGTTAATAGGTTAATTGTGTCTTGTTTGAGATTTCGGTTGGAATCATTAATGAGGCTATAGCTCTGTTTCGCTTTCAAACGCAGATTCTTCTTCCCTGATCTTCGAAGAATTGATAGGGTTGCTGTTGTTTGGCACTGCATGCGTAGTCCCAGTTTTTTTTTTTGTTTTTGTCTCCGATTGTTCATGGGGCCTGGAGACTTCCACGTGTAATAGAAATCTAATTTCTCACACCGTTTATTTATTTGGCAATGTAGTACCTAATTCCATTATTTGTGTTTACAAAAAAAAAAAATGTATAGTGAGACAACTCGAGATTGTCTTTCATAGCTTGATATCTCAGGTCATGGATGTAAGAGGCCATGGGGCAAATTGCACTAATATGTATAGTATGGGTTTGTCTTTCAGGCAAGCAGGAGATTTAGAGAGCAAATCACATCGATTTTTGCGCTATGCTGCTATTAATTACGTTTGATTTTATTTTTTATTCACAGACCCCGTACTAACAGCTTGATTTTTTATTTTTTTAGCACCGTAATAACTCGAGGCTACCAGCGAAATTGAACCAGTAATTTTTCATTCATAATTTTTTTTCATCTTATTAGACTAAAAAGCCATTGACGTTATTCTTATTTTTTAATCGAAGGAAGTATCATTGTGGATTTAAAAAATCTCTTGCTCTTTCTATACTTTTATACATGGAAAAATGACGTGAATCTAGTCATACTTCAATGTTTATATATTTTTTTAATTTAATATAAGAATAAAAAATAATAGTTCTTTTAAGGTGCATTAGGTAACTGGGAACACTTTGAATTTAGGAAAAATATAATAAAATCCCTTCAAATTATATAAATAACAATCTAGTTTCTCAAAATACTATAATTTTAATGAAATCCCCAGTCAATCAATTTTAAAGTGAAAAGACTATTTTATTCTTACTAAAAATAGCAAGCTCTAATCACAACTTTTACTTAAAAAATTACAACTTTTATTCTATAAATTGTAAAAGTTGAATAAAAAATTACAACTTATCAAGTAATTTTTGTTATTGAAAAACAAGTCTCAATAATAACTTTTGCTTTAAGAATAATAATTTTTATTTTGTGAATTGCAAAAGTTGAACAAAAAATCATAATTCATCAAGTGTAATTTTTATTATTGAAATACAAGTTCTCAAAATGACAATCCTCATTCATAACTTTTGTTTAAAGAATTACAATTTTTATTAAAAGAATTACAAAAATTAAACAAGAAATTATAACTTGTTAATAAGGGTAAAATGATCTTTTTAATCTAAAATTTATTGACAAAAAAGTTTCTGTAAACTTCAAAAGAGTTATGACATTTGGAGAGATTGTATTGTTATTTATCTAATTTAGAGATATTTTATTATTATTTTTCAGTGAATTTATGACTGGAGGGAGAAGAGAGATATTGGATTACATTCAATTCAACTATGACCAAGTGTTGGCCATAAGTGCGGTTCAGATTGGCAATGTTATGGCACTTCATTGGCTACAAAATGTTTCGCTTTAATGTCTTTAATTTGCTTGGTTTCAGTAGACTATCCATCATTACTACGTGCAAAAAGAAAAATAATCACATTCACAATTAATTTTAGTCATTATTTTTGTTCTTTGCAAACAACAAGTATTAGGTATGTTAAAAATGTTGAGTTTTAAAAGATAACAATAGGTTTTTGAAGTCCCTTATCATAATTTACTCCGATGTGAAGATACAAAGAGATTGAAAGTAATTATGCAAAGTACATAATTGTAAAGATTACAAAAATTGAAAATGAAAAGCTATATGAGACTACAATGGAGATTCAAATACTAAAAGTGTTAATAGATGTTGTTGATTGATTTTTCATCCTCTTCTCTGTGACCTTCTTCTCCTCTTATAATTATTCAGTTAAGATCATCACCCCCATGGAATCTGGAGCTCATTTATGAAATATCAAGGATCCCTTAGTACGGCCTGCGAGATTCATGGCACATTACACCATATTCTCTCAACGGTCTCGCATGTCTAGTCATTTTAAGTCTTAAGGGCTATGTTAAGCTCATGTATGGCAATGGATCAAGCTATGTTTCTTGGGCTAGTCATGTCTTTAACCTCAATTCTTCTTATTGGGTTGTTGTTTCAATTTTAGGCCCAAACAATGCCCTTCACGTGCGAGTGATCAATGTAATAAGCCATGTGGCATATTTAAATGAGAACTGATGCTTTGTTTCATTCCCTTGAGCCTCTCAAGATTACAAACCTTTATGTCTACATCAATCATTCCCTTTGCTCTCTCGTGCTCCTAGTTTTCCTTGCCTTTTAAGCGTCTTTGCCTTGTCTTCCCCTATTCTCCTCTATTTATCCTTTCAATAATGGCCTTTTCAGTTGATGCTACCTAGACTACTCAAGCTATCATCCCTGCCAATTTATC